GAAGAAGAGAGATAAGCCAAATGAAGATCACCCAGGAACAAAGTTGAAAAGACATAAGGACCTTCCTCTAGAGCCAACAAAGACAGAAAGCCTTCCCCAAGAACAAGTATCCTGAATTCAGTCTTCTAGCCTCCTAAACTATGAGAAAATAACGTTGGTTATTAAAGCCACCCACTTGTGGTATAGCAGCACTTAGATGACTCAGACAGGTAAGAATCACTGTATCAAAGGAGTTTAGTGTTGAAGGTGCCTGAGGAGTACCTCATGTTTCAATGTCCCTGATCTGACAGCTGAACAAAGCAAGTCCCAGAGAGGTGACATTGCAAGGTCCCTCAGCTAGGTGGTCATAAAATCTTCAGTTCTAGTACTTTCCCTACTAGACTGTGAACTTTACAACATCAAACATAGAGTTGGTCTAACACACACTAATGGTACAAGAGAAGACTTGCTACCTCTCTCACTGCATCAAGTTACCTACTGCACCCACTTCTTTTATCCTGCCTGATCTCCCAGTGCTCAGACCAAAAATGGTATAAAGAGCTTTATGAACTATAATGTGCACTGGGAACTGCATCTTCAAGTGCATCTTAAAGCAAAGATAGCACCTTATCCATTGTTATGTCTCCAGTGCCTACCACAGTGCCTGGCATACAGCAGGCACTACATAAATGCTTATTCCATACATTGATGAAGTCAAAATTAAGTCTAGGAAATCAAGGGACTTAAACAATAGTAAAGAAATAAGCTTATTTAATATATAAACTTGGGAGTCCCTGGATGGTACAAATGGTTAAGTGCTCAACTACTAGGTGAAAGGACGGCAGTTGAAACCCACCCAGAGGCACCTCAAAAGACAGACCTGATGATCTGTTTCCAAAAGGTCAGAGCCTTGAAAACCTTATGGAGTAAAGTTCTACTCTGACACACATCAGGGTGCACGAGTTGGAATCAGCTTGACAGCAACAAGCAATAAAAGCAATAATATATAAATGTATTTAATAAGGAAATAGAAATTATTCCTAACAAATAAACAGCCAAGCTTTGGTGGAGCTTATTTAGGGTGTACTAAAATGCAAAGGAGCTCTGGTGGCATAGTGCCTAAGGCATTTAACTGTTAACCAGAAGGCTGGTGGTTTTGAACCACCAGCCACTCCTCTGAAGGAAGACTGGGCAATCTACTTCTCTAGAGATACTGCCTTGGAAACCTAAGGAGGAATTGCTATGAGTTGGAATCAACTTGATGGCAGTGAGTTTTGTTGTTGTTGTTGTTTAAATGCAAAGGAAATAAGTATAAATAAGTTTGTGTTTATCTGGTTCACCACACACTGTGACTTCACACCTAAATCATTTCAATATCTAAGATAAACTTGGTATAAGTCAATCAGAAAAGACATTATAATTCAAATAAAAGATTATTCTAAAAATATCACAATGACTCAGTATCCCCTCAGTAGAGGTTCAATCATTGCCTACTGCAAGATTAAGCAGAACATGCAGTGCTCCCAACCACACCACTGGAGATGCTTTTCCAGACTGGCAATAGATCTGCAGGGGCCCATACACACACCCCTGTCAAACACCCCACTACCAAGAGCTCACCTATGCAAATGGTTTCCTGGGTCTGCAACTATAGGACGCGACCATGAGATAACAGTAAACTCTGTGGTCCAGACACAGTATCGAACCCATATCCACTGAGCTAACTGGCCCCAGTGGGAAACCTAGCAGAAAGCAGATCAGACAGAAAATCAAAGCCTTTAGATCAATGCACAAAGTACAGCATCCAGAAGATGTTATACAGACAGTCAGGTGAAAAAGCCATTTCATGGTCAGAAACACATATCCGAGAAAGTGATTGGAGCAGGGATAAAATTACCTCTCAAAGTAAGGATGTCACTTTGAGGACAAAGGTGCCCCTGACCCAAGCCATGTTTTTTTTCAATCACCTCTTATGCATGGGAAACTTAGACAATGTAAAAGGAAGACAGAAGAATGGATGCATTCAAATTGTAGTGTTGGTGAAGAATATTAAATATACCATGGACTTCCAGAGAATGAACAAATATAAATATCATATGGTTATAGATATAGAAATATATAGAATATATAGAAATATAACCAGAATGCTCCTTAGAAGAGAAGATCACCAGCCTTCTGGTTAGCAGTCAAGTGCCTCAGGCACTATGCTACCAGAGCTTCTGTTTCATTATTGCCACAATAAAAGTGTGTGTTTCCACAAAGACTGCTCATAGAGGATTAAGTGCAATATTAGTTTTAGGAATATTTTTGGTCTTATTTCTTAGAAAGGGAGCTCTGGTGGTGTAGTGCCTAAAGCATCTGACTGCTAACCAGAAGGCTGGAGGTTCAAATCCACCAGCCACTCCTTGGAAGGAAGATTGGGCAATCTACTTCCATAGATATACCACCTCAGAAACACAAGATGGGGTTGCTATGAGTTAGAGTTGACTCCACAGCAGTGAGTTTGGTTTGTTTTATTTTTCGGAAAAAAAGTCATATATTAATTATATGAAATAATAATAATATATATTTCATATATTTCTTGTAGACCTTTGGTGAATAATTTCAGTTCCTTTAGGCCCCAAGGTGACCTCTTCGAGTTCCTTCTCAAAGAGGCTGCAGTCCCCCAGGAACCTCTCATGGGCTCACTGACTTACTCCTCTTTTGCAAGTAATCTTACTTCAGTTTAAAAAGGAATCAACGGGAACAGTGGATACATCTATAGTGAGTTGCAGTGAGCAACAACCATTTATCCAGCACTTTCTCTGTGCCTAGCGCTATGGGGAAAAATTAATAATCAGAGAGACTTCTCTATGTTCTGCAGAGATCAGACAGCTTGGGAAAAGCTAAAATATTTTTATCTTTTGTAAAAATTAAAACTTTTCATCTTACAGAAGGGCCAGGACAAGCTCAGCTACTCAGATTCAATGCCTGTCATATGCTTTTACAGACTCAAGCTGTTTAACATAGAATTTTTCTTAAACAAAAAACTTCAATATAAAAAAATAAAAGTTCAATATTAAAAAAAGAAAGAAAAAAAGTAAAGAAATATACCCTTATTGCTATTCAAGAATACTAGTGCAGACTTTTACATGACATTGTTTTTTCATCCTAAAGCACACGCTTCACCAGGGTATAATGAAACCCAGCCATCTGATCACACACAGGCACTTCAGTGCCCCCTTATAGAGGTGTTTGCTGCCCTCTTGGTAACACACTGTCCACAACAGACACAGTGACTGTCCCAGCATAACAATACTTTTCACAACTGTCCACAGGTACAACAAAATGGCTGAAAGTCCAGGTATTTTTCTATCTGAATGTCACATCCCAAAATCTTTTGTTAAATATGTCTGATTTTTTATTTATTTGTAATTATCATGGGTTAATCCTTCATTCAATCCTGAGCATGGCGCCAGACCACGCAACATTTCTATCTGTTATACATAAGGGTCACCATGAGTTAGAGCAGACTGACTGGACTGAAACTAACAATAATAACAAAACCACCCCTTCAGTATGGTAGAGTAGTCACTTGAGGAACGAAAGACTATCACAGGGTTGGTAACAAGCAATAAAGACTGCCTGTGCAAAAATGGGGTGTTTTTCTTCTACACTGGGTATTGAGAGAGAGAGGGAGAAAGTGGAGGCAGGGAACATTGAAAGAAAAAGTACCTCTGATAACCCAGATTTACTCAGAAAAGAAGAATTTTTAATTAACAAGCTCATATTCCCCTTCCTTCTTCACCTCCCCCACTCTGCCAATTATCTGCCAGGAATGCTTTCTCTACACACTATTCATATACTAAAACTGCCATTTCAATTACTTTGATATGAGTGTCAGTACAATGCTAACGTTATCTTCTCCTTTTATATCAACACACTATCAGATCCCAGATATTATTATTAAGGAGAGAGACTAAAATATGTCCATATGGTGAATTACACATCTGTCCAAATGTGCAGTCCCAAGGTTGAAAATTTCATCTCAGAAACTATGGTTCCAATTACTTTTGAGGCCTTTGTTCCTTAAATTTTGGTCCCATGTTGAGGGAAGATGCTCTTTTTTTTTCATTCCCTCCATAATTCTACCTCTTAAACTACTTGAGCTTTTTTATTGATATTGATTAATGTGGGGGTGAAAATGTTCTTTTCACCTGTTTTAATTTTTCAACGTTCAATCACAGCTCATGAAACAGAAGGACTGAAAAAGAAAACTTTCAAAAAGAGTAAATTTCAAATATCCAAACAGGATTACAGAGTGCTTAAAAAAATGTGTGGGGTGGGAACATAATAAGACAGGTTTTCAGAGTACAAAAACTCTCATTTATTTCCATTTTACACAGCTTACATGTCATTCTCTTTTGCTATCCTAAAGCCCCTGCAAAACATCTTAAACTAAACTGGTTCCAACAACACAAAAGTAACACAACAACCTATTTTTGAGCAATAATATCAAATATATTTTAAACATTAAATAAATGTTTAAAAAATTGAACATTTTTTCCATAAGTTCTTTTTCCAAGAATATTTTGAAAGGCCTGATTAAATAAAGACAGTCCCAAAATACAAAAACTTCTCATTTCTCAAAAGCCAATTCTTATTAGACCAAAGGGACCGTATTTAACTTCTTCCCACATTTTAACACTTCTAGAACAGGGGTTCTACCTCATCTTGCTAGTGTGTTGTTGTTGTTATGTGCCATTGAGTTGGACCCGACTCATAACAACCCCTCCTTCGGTTTCCAAGGCGATATCACTATGGAAGTAGATTAGCCAATTTTCCTTCCAAGAAGTGGCTGGTGGGTTTGAACCGCCAGCCTTCTGGTTAGCAGTCAAGTGTCTTAGGACTACTAGAGCTCCTATCTTGCTGGTAGGTTTATTAAAATGTAACTATCCTTGCTCCACCACCACTGGTTAGAGGAAATAATCACCATAACAGGTTTCCTCTGAGTAGGTAAACAAGATCTGATCAGAACTTACCCATCCAGCAGGCTCATTGTGGTGGGTGCCACTTCAGCAAACAGAATGATTTTTCCAAGTTGCTCTGTCTGCAGATTTTGCCGATAGATCTCTAAGTTAAAATTTTCTGATGAGAAGCCCATCGAATCAGTAACAACAGGAACAGAAGATGGGGTTATTTCCATGTCAGATGTGTAGGATGAAACAAACTTCAGGGAAAGCTTGCTGGATTTTATTACTCCTTCAGGATTCACATGTTTTCCCAGCCACTGCATAAGAGGATCCCATGCTTCCTGTGTCATAAAGGAAGAAATGGAAAGGTTATAATTTGGCATTATATTACATGATGGCAGTTCTTCCTTAAAATGCCATTTTGGTACTACTAGTACTTCCTAATTCACAAAAAATAAATGTTAGATAAATATATTCCCAGACGTGTAAAACTACTATAAAATATGATAACAGATCTATTAAGTATGCTTATACTATTAACTCACCAGCCACTCCTCGGAAGGAAGGTTGGGCAATCCTACTTCCGTAGTGATACTGCCTCGGAAACCCAAGGAGGGGTTGCTATGAGTCGGGGCCGGCTCGATGGCAAATAACAACAAGAACAACATACTATTAAACTGTTCAGAAACCAAAATATAAGGAAATATTGTTATTGTTAGCTATCATTGAGTCAGCTCCGACTCTTAGCGACCCTATATACAATAGAACAAAACACTGCCCGGTCCTGTGCCAGCCTCACAATCCTTGCTATACCTGAGCCCATAGTTGCAGCCACTGTTTTAATCCACCTCATTGAGGGCCTTCCCCTCTTTCATTGACCCTCCACTTTACCAAGCATGATATCCTTCTCCAGGGAATGGTCCCTTCTGATAACATGACCAATGTAGGTTAGATGAAGTCTGGTCATTCTCACTTCCAAGTAGCATTCCAGCTGTACTTCTTCCAGGACAGACTTGTTAGTTCTTCTGGCAGGCCACGGTACTTTCAGTATTATTCTCCAACACCACAATTCAAAAACATTAACTCTTCTTTGGTCTTCCTTATTCATTGTCCAGCTTTCACATCCATATGAGGCGACTGAAAATACCATGGCTTGGTTAGGCACACCTTAGTTTTCAAAGAGACATCTTTGCTCTTTAGCATTTTAAAGAGGTCTTTTGTAGCAGATTTGCCCAGTGCAATAATAAGTCATCTGATTTCTTGACTGCTGCTTCCATGGGTGTTGATTGTGGACCCAAGCAATATGAAATCTTTGACAACTTCTATCTTTTCTCCATTTATCGTGATGCTGCTTATTGGTCCGGAAACCCATTGCCATTGAGTAGATCCTGACTCATAGAGATCCTATAGGGCAGAGCAGAATTGCCTGACAGGGTCTCTTAAAACTGTAATCTTTATAGAAGCAGACTCCCAGGTCTTTATCCCAGGGATAGCTGGTGGGCTCTAAATGCTCACCTTTCAGTTAGCAGCTGAGTGCTTAACCACTGCACCAGCAAGGTCTCAAGGAAATAATTATAGCTCATTATTATATGGTCTATCCGATATTAGGGGGCGGGAGCTCTGGTGGCATAGTGCCTAAGGCATGTGACGGCTAACCAGCAGCCTGGTGGTTCAAACCCACCAGTCACTCCTTGAAAGGAAGATGGGGCAATCTACTTCTGTAGTGACACCGCCTCGGAAACCCAAGGAGGGGTCGCTATGATTTGGGTTCGACTCAACAGCAGTGTGTTTTGTTTTTATATTAGGGGCAGTGATGGTGGGGTGGTAGAACTCTCACTTTTCATGTGGGAGATCCAGGTTCAATTCCAACACACTTCATGCACAGCTACCACCTATCTGTCAGTGGAAGCTTGTATGTTGCTATGATGCTGAAAGGTTTCAGCAGCCCTTCTAGACTGAGACACACTAGGCAGAAAGGCCTGGAGATCTGCTTCTGAATATCAGCCAATGACAAATCTGTTGTTGTTGCTGTTGTTATGTGCTGTCAAGTCGGAGCCGACTCATAGCGACCCCTCCTTGGGTTTCCGAGGCAGTATCACTATGGAAGTAGATTGCCCCATCTTCCTTCCAAGGAGTGGCTGATGTATTTGAACCGCCAGCCTTCTGGTGAGCAGTCAAGTGCCTTAGGCACTAGGCTACCAGAGCTCCTACAGATCACAATAGTCAGATTCCACCATATGTGGTGTCACCAAGAGTTGAGGATTGACTCAACAGTAGCTAACAACAGCAACAATTCTACATTATACCCTCAATTCTCAAAAGACCTATTCAGTCCTAGAGTTCATTAGTAATTCTCTAGTCTCCTGTGCATTTTATAGAAACCTTTGTATCTTTATACTTTAGCTCCACAAGGAAATTCATTATCCTATCTAGAGGGGCAGGCATTTAGGTGAAGAAGTCACAGAACACAAAGCACTAAGATAATCTTGTTGTTGTTGTTGTTATGTGCTGTTGAGTCAGACCTGACTCACAGCAACCCCTCCTTGGGTTTCCAAGGCAGTAACACTATGGAAGTAGATTGCCCCATCTCCCTTCCAAGGAGTGGCTGGTGGGTTTGAACTGCCAGCCCTCTGGTTAGCAGTCCAGTGCCTTAGGCACTACGCTAGGACCTCCACTTCCTTTTATAAAGTCAGGACATGGTGAATTATGCAGGCCACTGACTGGTAATTGCTGGTCACTGATAAGAGAGAAACACATTCACATTCAGGGAAAACAAGGTACCCAAAGACTGCTTTCTGTTTACCCCAAATATAGGTCCAGTGAGGATTGGAAGGCAGAACTGAGAAGGGACATGCCCCTATCCCCTATATGCACAGCTCCCTCTTCCAAATCCAAAGGAGTCTTAGAGCCTCTGGGAGCTGCAACTTCTACCATATACCCAGAGATCCCAAAGACCTTCCTCTAAGATGGGTCACAAGGGAACTGGAGGCTCTGGGGGAGTCAATATTCTGAGGAGGCCTCATAAAACATCTTAAAATATGTTGCCACACTAAACACAGATTCAGTGTTTAAGCCATCTTCTGCAAATAATTGGCCTTTCAAGAAGGAAAACCCTCCTGTTAACGTCAGTAGCACGTCCCAAAACTCCCCATGGGTACAAAGGACAGCTTTTAAAGATGAAATTAAATTCAACTAAATCCAACTGATCAATCTTTAAAGCTCTTTTTGAATTTGCAGAAAATACAAAGAACAGAAGAGAGCTGGGCCAGCTCTTTCACAAGTTAGCAACATGGAAAAAGAAAAAAAAAAGGGGGGGGGGCAGGCAGGAGGTAAGAGGAGGAGCCTTGGTCTAGATTAGAAATGACTTAAGAAACATAATCAAATACACTCAGTATTCTTTATTGGATTCTATTTGAACAAATCAGCTGGGGAAAAATATTTTAGACAGGAAAATTTGAATATGGATAGTATGTATTAGATAGCAAGAAGGAATCACTGTTAGTTTGCTAATGGAATAGTATTGTGGCAATATAGGAAAAAGTCCTTAATTTTTAGATATATATATATATATATATGCAGCTCTGGTGCACTAAATAAGGCTGCTAACTAGAAAGTCAGCAGTTCAAATCCACCAGCTGCTCTGTGGGAAGAAGATGAGGCAAACTACTTCTGTAAAGATTTACCACCTAGGAAACCCAATGGGGGTTGCTATGAGTCAGAAGCAACTCAATGGTAGTGGGTATATACATATACATACATACATACATACATACATATATATACACATACATATACACACACACACACATACATGTACACAAAAAACAAACCACCAGAGCAATTTCTGTTATACTATTCTCTCTATACTTCTCCATGTTTGAAAATTTTCTTAATAGCAAGCAGAGAGAAAAACACAAAATGATAAAAAAAAGTATTAGCTATTATTAAAAAATAATAAATTCAACTAAAATATACCAGCAGCCTATTCATTCATTCATTCAACAAGCATTCTTGTAGGCTTAGTGATTTCAGCAGTGAACAAAAGGGACCGAAGTCTCTATCCTCAAAGGGTTTATACTCTAGCATAGAAGTCAGGAAATAAATAAAATTAGTAAGTACAATATAGAGGATATTAGACTGTAACAGGAGTCCCTATATGGTACAAATAGTTAACAGGCTCAAGTGCTAACATAAACACTGGCAGTTCAAGCAGCTGGAAGCAAGGCTTGGCAATCTCCTTCTGAAAAACTAGCCATTGGAAACCCTATAGAGTATACAGTTCTAACACACATGGGGTCACCATGAATTGCAATCAACTTGACTAGAAGAGATACACTAAGGAGTGACTATAGATACAAGAGCTCAAAGGGGCCAGTGCTTAGATGTTGGGAAATGAGGAAAAGCCTGCAAAGGAGACTCCTGAAGAGGCAAGAGAAAACCAGGCATAGGGGCAGGGAGAAGGTTCTAGAAGTTGTGGGTGCAGTTTTGCAGGAAGCAAAAAGTCAGGAAGATGACCAACAGGGCAGTAAGAAGAGGATGGACATCTGCTGAGAGCAGTTCCAGTGATACTTTGTTAGTGAGGACAAGTCAGTCACCTACTCATGCAACTCCATGCACCATGGAATGAAACGCTGTTCGGTCCTGCACTGTCCTCATGACCAGCTGTGGATGAGACCATTGTGATCCACAGGGTTTTCACTGGCTGATTTTCAGAAGTAGATTACTGGGCCTTTCTTCCTAAATACATCTCAGTGTGGAAGCAATGCTGACACACGTTCAGCATCCTAGCAACATGCAAGCTTCCACTGACGGGTAAGTGATGGCTGCACATGAGGATCACTGGCTGGGAGTTAAATCTAGGTCTCCCATATGGAAGGCAAGAATTCCACCACTGACCACCACTGACCTCAAAGATAGGTTCGACCACAAAAACAGAGAGGTAAAGTGATTTGGAAAACAAACATTTCTCAACTAACCTCAGTTTTCATAAACTCGGAGAGCTCAGTAATTATTCAATCAGATGTAGGTAACGTGAATACCTCATTCAAAGTCAATAAAACCAGGATGAAATTGAGAGAAGTATTCGAGTTGGCTGACAATATGTCACTCATTTAAGAAATACCTATGGAGAAACCACTGTGCCTCAAACACAGAACCACAGTGCAAAGAGAAGAGGAAGGACAGATTCATTCAAACCATTCAAATACAAGAAGTCTCTGGGGTTACAAATGTGGGACTTAAGGACAAACCCTACTTGCCCTTCAATGATATGTGTATTTGCCCTCACTTTTAAAGGACTGAACCAACCCCTACTTGCAACAAATTCTTCATCTAAATTGCC